CCGCGATCTGGACGGGCTTTGCTAACGTGAGCGGTTTGTCTTGTAGAACAGCAGGAGGCGCCGTGACATCGACCGGCCTCCTGTTCCGGAGGCCGAGTGACACAGGAAGGTGTTCCTGCGGCCCGAGGGAGCTGTTTTATTGCCGGGTTAGTGGAAATGGCGGTGAGTGCGGATAGGATGGAAGATCTCGAAGATGGTGAGCTCTGTAGTTCTAACTCTGATTCGGAAATGGGAGTTGCTGCGGATGAACAAATGCAGGTAAGTTTTGTTGAAATATGTTTAAGAGTGAAATATACCGCGTTTTGGTTCTCAGAGAAGGTAATTTCGGTTTTACCTTATTTGACGGTTTAGATATACCTTGGTTGCTTTGCTGTTAAGGAGGTAGCAACGTTTTCGTTTTAATTTATACGTGAAAGGAACTCAGCTGTGTACATTTTTTTATTACGAGATTTAAAGGCTAAAATCGGTAAACTCGTGAGGATATTTAAGTTGAAGTTATTACATGCATGTTTAGTGATTGTTTTGGATTCCAGTTTTAAATTTGAAGTTACAGCAAAATCAATCCAGAGTGTCATTCGCTTTACCAAGAAGTCACGTAATTTTGTAGTTTACGGCTGCAAATGTGATTTATTTTTATTTAAAACTCTCCTATTCAGGTATTGACGCAGGTTTGCTTAGCGTCTGCGGTCTGTATCTGGAAGATATCTGGCTAGTGGTGTAGAAAAAATGAGAAAAACTGTAATGGGTCTGAAGAAGATTAAATAATATGATCAGCCATCCACAATTGTTGGCGCAGATGCCGACAAGATGATAACTGTTTGGAAAAAGTTATACACTGCTAAAATGTCTGGACTGCACTCGAGTGTGATTATTAAGAAGGCAGACAGGCCTATTACAATGCGAAAAGTTTATTTCACATGGCAGCAAACGCACACGGTACGTCGCTATACATCTGTAACTCATGCTGATTCTTCTTGGGTGTGATTCTCTAAAAACATAACCCTTTACTACCAGTGTATATCAAGGTTGTATAGCAACTGTAAGTTTCCAGTGATGGGGGGGGGGGACAAGTTTTTTTGGATGATTTATATTTTGTGCCTGTTTCATAAACACTTTCTACTTATTGATTTTGTTTTTCTGTTTGATATACTTTTAAGTCTTAGGTTTATTGGTGACATTTTTACATCTTCCCCTAATGCTGAACACTGCATGTAGTACTTTTGTCCTGTATAATGAAGTTCCAAGCAAAGTTGTGTTTAGAGTAAAGAAAGTACTACATAACCCCAATGTGTCCCGTGCATTATTTCTGACCTTCTTTCTGCAGAAACTGCAGCCCCCAGCCTTGAACAGCCAGGCTTTCCAGAGCAGATCGGAGCCGCGCCAGGCCCCCACCTCTGTCACGAGTTACCGCAGCACGGCAGGGCTAGACTCCAGCGACAACAGCGAGTCGGATTCCGATGAAGACCGGGCCATCTGGAAGAGGAAACGCCAGAAATGTGCCCATCCGCCTCCTGTGAAGCTGCCTGTGCCGGGCCCCCTCGCCCCCCAGAAGCCTCCGAGCTGCAAGGTGAACAACATCTGGGGCGCCGTCGTGCAGGAGCAGAGCCAGGAGGTGGTGGCGGCGGAGTTGGGTATATTGGGCATGGAGGGTGGCATCAGCATGAGCAGTCGGCAGTCGGAGACGTACAACTTCCTGCTGGCCCGCAAAATGATGGAAAGGGAGCGACAGCAGCAGGAGTCGGAGGAGGCTGCCAAGCTGGACGAGGAGCTGGAGGATTACATGCAGCACGACAAGAAGGAGCACAAGGCTGAGGAGGGGAACGGGGGCGCCCACCTCAAGAGGAAACGTCCAGTTAAGGAGAGGCTGGGCGAGAAGGAGGAGATGGACTACAAGGGTCGATTCGAACTCACCGAGGACGACCCCGAGGACAGAGTGGCAGAGGAAATCGCCCACAGGTCAGGTGCCCCTTTGAGCTTCTGTGTTGCTCTGGTGTTTTAAGAGTTCCTTTAGTTAAAACCTGAATTGTAGCCATTTGTTTTTTATTTAAACTTTTTAATAATAATAATAATTGCTTACACTTATATAGCACTTTTCTGGACACCACTCAAAGCGCTTTACAAGTAATGGGGACTCCCCTCCACCACCACCACCAATGTGCAGCCCCACCTGGATGATGTGATGGCAGCCATAGTGCGCCAGAGTGCTCACCACACACCAGCTATCAGTGGGGAGGAGAGCAGGGTAATGAAGCCAATTCATAGATGGGGATTATTAGGAGGCCATGATTGGTAAGGCCAATGGGAAATTTGGCCAGGACGCCGGGGTTACACCCCTCAAAGCTTAGGCTCAAAGCTTTGAAAAACAAGATGTATTCTGGTAACATTTTAATGTTGCTCTTCAGAGTTGGCGAAGTTCAGTTACTGCTTCCAGGTTTGAGTTGGGAAATCGTACTCTTTGATTCACTGACGGGCTCCTTCACGTGTAACACTAGGGGCTGGGCTATGCTGATATGCTTGTTTTTATTCATAAGTACCTCATGATGTATCTCTGTTTCACTTTTGCTGTGTGTTGCAGCGAGAGCAGGACTGAGGAATGAGTTTGAATAGTGCGGGAGCCCTCAGTGCCTGCCCTCAAGGGACACAGGCTTGTCTGGTCCTCTTTCCCTATGAACTCACTGAGCACACAATTCTATGAGAAATGTATACAGTATACTATCTACTGTTGTATATAGGCTCTCTGAATCTTTTGACTTATTTTTTTAATGTGAATGAAACTTTTTCCTGGGCTTTTTTTAATCAGAAAGCCCTTTATTTCGTTTGTTGTAAACATACGGTATAAAATTTGCTGAAGCATATGAAACACAAACACACATCATAATCAATTGGCCTGTTCCTGTAAGGCACCTTTGATATTCCTGAACCCTTTGCAGTAGTAATAATTGTATTTATTTTGAATTGTTTTATTTATTTTTTTTACATTTCTGTAACATTTTGGTGTCTTTTTAAATGATTTTTAAATCATTTTAATGATTTTTTTTAGTTCGCTAAAGTAAACAACATGCAAACAACACCCATTGAAAGCAATTCAGTATTGTAGGGAAAGTCAAATATTTCTGATTTTATAGTCAAAATTCCCCTTTAGCAGATTTATTTTGTTAAATTTGAAACATTAAATTTGAAACAATTGTGTTATTACTGTAATTTTTCACTGTCTTAAGTCAATTTAAATTAATTCATTTTTAAGTAGACAATATATAAATGGCAAAGAGACAAAATGAGGACCCCTGAAATAATAAATTAGTGGATTTGTTTATGACTCAAGAACTTCTGAAATCTGCTTGGGACAGTGCCTTTCTAAGTTTATTGAAATTTATTTTCTGATGTTCTCCTAGAGATAATTTCTCTTTAATGTTAGAACAGTGGCAATAGGATCCAATCCGGCATCTGCTCTTAACGTGCAATTAATTAAACACGTATATGTGTTTTCTTGACTGTATCACTGTTGTATGACACTGGGTTGTGAATCAAAACAAGTTTAACATGATCTGATTTGATGTGCCCCAAAAAATTTCATTGACAAATGAGAAGTTGGCAGTTTGGGCTTCCAGTATTAGACTGTGATCTCTCCCAGGTATTGTAGTTTAGGGTTTGGGGCTTGTCTTCTTCTAAGCTATTGGTGTCTCCTGTCATGCCTTCTTGAGCTGGGACTAGTCCCTTGTACTCAGTTTTCTTATTTCATAAATAGTTGCACTTGGACCTTGACAGATGACACATGTACATTGTACAAGATGACAGATGTACATTGAAAAAAGGTTGGAAAAGTAAAGGTTACTAATCTATAAATCACAAAATGGTGGAGCTGGCAAAACAAACACTAATGTTTTACAACCATAAAGTCTTCTATTTGACAGGTAATCCTAGTATATAATACAAAAGCAAACTACAGTCAAAACTTTGCTCTTAGAAGTCATAGGATATACTCAGAATCAGATTCTTCACTGCTTTTTTTATTGGGGGGAAAAAAATCTCAGTAACATAAAAGTGGTGACTAAGATTTGAATTTGAAATAGGGGGGAAAATGGGAACACCTGGCTGACGCAGATGATGGTTAATGTAGACAAGTGCAGGAATTTTCATGCAGATAGCAAAACATGAGCTACAAATACAAAATAGGAAACACTGAGCTAATGGAGGCTACATATAGAACAAAACAGGCGTTTATGATGGCAAATCATTAACATTGTCTAGACAATTTTGAGAAACAATGAAAAGGTTGAGAATTTTAGGATATATAGTTAAAAGCATTAAATTAAAATCAAGGAAGTTTCTTGAAATTGTATAATGCACTATTTCATTTAAACTGCATTTAGAATATTTTGTACAATTTTGGTCACCATTTTATTGATAAGATATTGCTATTCTAGAAACTATCCAGTGAATACCAACCAGAAACATTCTGGGGCTTAAGAGAATGTCCTACACTGACAGGGTGAAGGAACTGGACCTTTATAATCTTGAACAAAGTGTTCAAGGGGACCTGATACAAGTAATCAATGTCCTCAAAGATGGTGATAGTCAACCCAAAGGATTTCTTCAGAACGGAGTGTGAAACATGAACCAGAGGACACAGTGGAAACTACGTGGAAGCACATTTTAAAGCAAGCACAGGAGGCACGTCTTTACCCAGAGAGTTGAGTGATATGCAGTGGAACAGCTACCTAGCCATTCTATTGAAACCGATACTTTGACTTTTATTGTTTAATGTTGAACTGGCTGGGATCCTTGGGTCAATTAGCTGCTAACTTCAAAATGGTCTATATGATTCCGTCTTGCTTTTTGTGAATAATCTAAACTAATTTTCCCTGGTATTCTTGATGCAGAAAGCTCCATATTGTTTAAGAGCCAACTGTGATCAATGAACAGTCGGGACGCAGTGTCTGAACACTTTACATATTTAACCTGGGTTGTTCCATAGGTTGAGGGAGCCCAAAAAGGATCTAATTGAACGAGTGGTAAATATCATCGGGAAGAAGAAAGCGATCGAATTGCTG